CTGTCCGTGACGCAAGCAAGAGCGTCGCTCGACAGCCGTTGCCGCCTCCAAAATCCGTTCTCGATGCATACATAGGGCTGCTACAGCCAACACTCCTCCTTTCCACCTTGCCTAGGTGCCCTTGGGCCTCGACTCCGCGCACTGCTAGGCCAGACAAGACACGGCAGGATTGTTCCAAATAGCGGCAGGGGAGGGGAAACGCTGCCACGGGAAATAACAGGGTTTCGAACTAGCCACCCTCGGGGGCTGTCGTGCCTCCCCTATCATCCAAGCTAGGCCTTAGTGTGTGATTAATTAATGTAGATCGGCCACTCATATGGTGACTAGTACAGCAGATTGCCCTTTGAATGGACGATACATTCATTACTTTTAGTCCCCTTTGAATGGATTATACATTACTTTTGTGTACTACAGAAAACTTTTAGTCCATCTAGTTGAGATCCATGCTCGCGTTGCAGCTCTCATCTGACCGTGGGCTATTTTTTCGTTTTCGGCCCCACTTTGGGGTTTGTCTGCTCCAGTGGATCTAGACGTTTTGGGCCTAAGGTTTTTCTCGTCTTTCATCTATTGGATTGCTGCGTGTGTCCAGTGCAGCTTCATGTCAATGTGGCTTTGTGAAGCCGAAACATGCAGGCTGGAGCACTAGACCGCCCATAGTTTGTGGCAGAACGATGAGCCCATGGCACATGGAGTCAAAAGAGGTTTTTTTTGGAAGAAATGTCAAAAGAGGTTTGAAGCCTACATACACGCTAAAAGTTCGTATCATCGTTAGTTTCCACCACGTACCAGTTAATGTACGTAGAGACTCGAGAGTGCTAGTTTCCGTTCATTTTTTGTCACTTTTGCAGTTTGCTTGAGCTGGTCGAGAAGGTTGACTTCCTAAAAAATATCAGTCAACAAATTAGTATTTGGTTAAAAATGTGCTTCCTCACACGCCCTTTCTACCAAATCGTGAATTAATGACTTAGTCATATGAATAGAACCTGCTACTTACATGTATGGATGGAAAATAGAAATGGATATCCGAGTTATCCGACATTCGTATCCACTAAAACTTGTAATATGGATATTTTTAACGTGGATACTAAATGGATGTATCCGAATTTGTTTTTTCAGTATTTTCTCTATCCGATTTCAGATCCATATTGACAAAAATACAGAATATCCAATATTTTTCCGTATCTGTGAAGAACAAGGTATAATGAATCTATTTAAAAGTTTTCTCTCCATGACTAGTGACTAATTATTTAATTTTCATATTACTAATGATGCATTGAAACTATTTAATAGTATATCTATAGATAACATTTAATACTATTAATAATACTAAAATATTAAATTATTTTTAGTATTTTTTAATTTCTTAACCTAATATATTTGTTGTTGCAATTATTTTAATACTTTAATTTATTTATTTACTTATGAAATTATTTTATAGGATTTATAATTTTTATGATAAATATTCTATAAACAATGATTGATTAATTGATATATTTAATTATTAAATATTTATTTATAACTATACTATTTTTATGACCTATCCTTGTCTAGGTTATATACCCACATGCTTTAATCTCTAATTGTGTAATAATTTTGTAATTACAAAAATATTGATAAAGAAAAATGGCTACTTGTTGCCTACCATTCTTACTTGAATTTCTTCACTTAACCTATCATTTTATTAAATATTATACATTGTAATTTAGTTCTCTTCAATATTGGAGCTTATTAGAAGTGTATTTTGATTTTATTTCACTTTGGTTATTGATGAACTTAGTCCTAAAATTCTATTCATGTACGTTGAATTTAACAATATGCATTGAGTTGAACTGAGTAAATATTCGAATAGAAATTCGAATCCAAGACATTCGTTTTGTATCTATATTAAAAAATATCCGTATCATATTCGAATTCGAATTTAAATGTGGTAAAAAGGTAATATCTGGATCCAATTCCATGTGAATCCGATTTGTTTAAATCCCTACTTACATGTGTGTTGCCTTCTGCCTGATTCATGCTGCCTGACATGCCTCCACGTCCAACCCTAGCCACTAGGTCGCTAGTTAGAAGATTGGCGCCTCCTTTCTCGACCTCAATCGTGTTGGTGGGTACTGTTAGCGGATCTAGTCTCAGGAAGCCATAGCCGGCATGCGCTCTTGAAGGAGGAGGCTTCATATAGAAGAGCATCGCTATCATGTCGGGCTCATATGTCAAGTCAACATCACACATACAGTCGGCATGCCACATCACCACATTGAGCGGGTTAAAGCCAACTTTGGACTAGTGCCGGCACATAAGACAAGTTTAATTAGGGACCTTGTTATCAAAGTTAAGAGTTAAGGACCTAGATGGCACAACCATACAAGTTTGGGGACTCGAATGTCAAAATTGAAGTTGATGACTCGAATGACACCGTTGTCAAGTTTTGGTTCTGCTAGTGATTTCTACTCTTTTCTACTACACGCGCGGATGCCCTAGCCCAAGCTCTCTAACGGCCAACAACATGGAGAAGATCTCCATCGCCATCACTTTACCCATCGCCCATCCACCTTCGGCGCTTGGGCAACCGCTAGTAGCGCATCAACCAAAAAAAAAAAATCCGCGCATCTACCTCTCCAGCATTTTGGGACCGAAATTTCATCAAAAACCCCTAAATTTTGCATTTTTCGTAGGGTACCAAAAAATGCATGCCGGTCAAATTTTTCAGTTGAATTTGGCAAGCACACAAATTCCATGCCGAACTGGGCCAATACTCCGATTCCCGACACCCAGGCAGCCAGCCCACATACACTCCACATCTTCCCTTTTTGAATTTCCCCAAATCGATACTCGTGAGTCGCCGCCAGCCAGCCAGGCTGCCTGTGCCGCCTCACCTCTCAACAATGCCGCCGCATTGTGTGGCCGCCCCACTTCCCACCATAGTCGAGCTCTTGTCCCCGGTCCCCACGGCCTAACACACGGTCTGGTCGGTCGCCGGGTCGTTGCTCTTATAGATAGCATTAATTAATTTATGTTTCAGTCCCAAACCGTGTACCGTTGGGTGCTGGCGGCCTGGCACATATAGGGCATGTTTGCTTGGGGGAATTCTGGAGGAATTTGAATGGTTTAGAAGAATGTTGGAGGAATTTGTGAGAGAAAACACGCGAACGGGGCCATAGTAAAGCCATGTTCTGGTAGGATGATGAATCACATTGCTCCTTCAATAGACAGCATCTGTTAAGTTTTGTTATTTGCAAATGTGTTGGAGATGGATTAGAGAGAGTTTCAACTAAAATGCTGCCATTCTTCTTTCTTTTCTTTTTTGGCAACACCAACACTCAAGACAGAAAATCCCTTTTCCCGAGCAGCCATCGCCATCTCTCAATCTTCGCGAAGAGAGAGAGAGACAGAGAAATATTCTTGCCTTGGTGACGCCGGAAAGCGACGCGACCCATCGTCGTCCCGGAGCCATGCATATAGGACCTATGGGCGATGGCGATGGCGACGGCTCTCCGGTGATGATTCCTACAGATAATAATACAGGCTGTCGGTGTTCCTCATTCATATAAGACAAGGATTAGATGACTCATTCAACTACTTGATTCTGTTAATCTGTCGCATCGGCAAAAACCACCCGTAAACCAACCAATATAGGCCTCGTTTTAGATTGTAAGTTTTTTCACTCTCTTCATTACATCGAATCTTTGGACATATATATGGAGTATTAAATGTAGATAAAAAAATAATTAATTATACAGTTTGATTGTAAATTATGAGACGAATCTTTTAAACCTAGTTAAGCTATGATTAAACAATAATTATTAAATACAAACGAAAGTGTTACAGTGCCAAATACTAATTCGTAACCCTAGTCTCAACAAGACCATAGCATCTACTGTTTTTCAAAGTCAAGCGTGGCGGTCCACGCCGCCCGTTCGCCAGCTGTCTGCGGAGGAGCTTATAATTGTTTTGCTGCCGAGTCTTGTCTTGTGCAGAGCGCCAGAGCTACGGAGGCGTCCTCAGACAGAGCAGAAAAGGCTGAGGAGGAATGGGGAAAAGCTGCTCGCCGTCGGCGCCAGGACCCTGACCCGGGCGGCGGCAAGTTTCGCCGTGAAATCAGCGGCGCGCCCATCGGCCGCCGCCGGCGAGGTGGGCGTGCGCGGCTGGCCATTCCGAGTCGGGTGCTCTCCATCGCACGTACGTTTCCTGCCCCTCCCTGTCTCTCGTTCTGTCTTTTTCTCTGAGATGCAGAAAAGCATTTTGGCGAGATCTTTTAGAGCTTTTTCTCCCCAGCCATCAATCTTGTGCAGATTGGTGGATACATATGAAAAGCATATATATGTGCATGAGCATTTGGTCAAAGTAGGGGTGGGTTGTTGCGAGTTGCGACGTAGTAGGGTTGTTGGGGGTAGGTAGTTTCTTGAAATTACAATCTTGGGGGAAACTTTGCCTACGTGGCTTTGCGCCCTGGTTGCCTATGAAGTTTATCCGTTAGGTCGGCTCCGTTTTTAGGAATCACAGAGATTTTCCTAACTAGCATCTATTTGGCTCAGCTGAAGAAAACTTGCCATCCAAGGTTCCTCCTGAACTGAACTAGATAACCCTTTTGGACTGTGCCGTGGGAGTTGAAAAAAAAAAGATGAAAGGTAAACCCATGAATTGCCCCAGTAGGGTTGCTTAAATTCACAAGAAAAGGGCACACAGGATACTCCAAGTCAAATTTCATTCATGCGTCCTTACAAAAAGGTCTAATTTCATTAGGTTGTGCACTGTGCTAAGATTCCTTAGAATTCATAACTATACTGATTGCTGACTGAACTGTTCTGGGCTTGGAAATTAAAAGCAAATATAGTGTCCTCTGCACATGAAGTTAGATGAATCAACTGACCATGTCTTCCAAATAATGACATTTAAAAAATCATTTTTTTTCAGGCTGTAAAATTTAGCTCTTGATTGCGGGACCTAAATCACTGGCCACCTGGAGCAGAGTACCCAGAAGCTTATGACTGCAGATTGCATCCATGGGTTCAATGAGTCAAAAAATTAAAATTTTCACAGAAGATGAGATTACAAGTATTACTAGCAATTATAGCACTCTTATTGGGAAAGGTGGTTTTGGAGAAGTCTATAGAGGGATCCTTGATGCTGACAATGATCTAGTTGCGGTGAAAAGATATATCCGACAAGACTTGCGCGAGGAGTTTATGGAAGAAGTAAACATCCACAGTATGATGAACCACAATAACGTGGTGAAGCTCATAGGCTACTGTGTTGGTGAAAGTACCCTGATGTTGGTAACAGAGTATATCTCCAATGGAAACCTTGATGACATACTCCATAGAAGTGAGACTCCTATCCCTTTGGATGTAAGATTGGGTATTGCAATAGGGTGTGCAGAGGCACTGAGCTACATGCATTCAATGGATTCACCGACTGACAACCATATTTATCATGGTGATATTAAACCTGCCAACATACTTTTAGATGACAATCTTACAACAAAAGTATCAGATTTTGGACTGTCAAGGTTTCTTTTCAGTGGTACTACTCAGTTCACTACAACCTTAAAAGGAAGTATGGGTTACATGGATCCTGTATATTTTCATGAGGGGTGTCTGACCCCGAGAAGTGATGTATATAGTTTTGGTATAGTCCTCTTGGAACTAGTAACTCGAAAAAGGGCAAAATATGGGGATGTTAGCCTAATTCCTACATTCAATAAGGCCTGTGCCAAGGGGAAAGGATTGAGGGAACTATTTGATGCAGCAATAGCTGAAAAGGATGACATGAAGATTCTTAAAGAACTGTGGAAATTAGCAGCTCAATGCTTGTCACTGAACATCCATACACGTCCTCAAATGAATGAAGTGGCAAAACGCCTTCGGATGCTCAAGAAAGATCTAAAGGGTAGTCCACAATCCATATTGGCAACACAGTCTATATGGGCGAAACAGTACACACAAAGCTCAAGGCCTCCTAGTTTTAAGAAGAAATTGAGTTTTTTCAAGGGAAATACTAGTTATTCTAAGATTCTATCTGAACTCTGCAATGTAAGAACTTTTACAAAGGAGGAGATAAATGAAGTCACACATAACTACTCCTATCTACTCAGTGGTGGGACATCGTCAGCAACTGAGGTTTATAAAGGAACACTTGAGGACAATACAATGGTGGCGGTGCATAAATTAATTTATGACTCTGAAGAGGCATTTATCAACGGAGGGATGGTCGTATCTAAAATTGCCCATAAGAATATTGTCAAAATTTTGGGGTTGTTTGGAATCCCAAACTATTGCTTTTCTATACGAGTACATTGCTAAAGGTAGTATCTCTGACATTTTGGGTAGCCAGGAAGATTTCCCAATAGACTTACGTATGAGGATTGCAATTAAGACTGCAGAAGCATTACAATACCTACATTCATCAGAAACTGGTATCATCGGACATGGCAGTGTTTCAGCATCCACTATACTTCTTGACAATAACTTTGTACCAAAGCTCACAGAGTTTTCAAGGGCATGCATGCTTTTCAAGAAGAGTGAAACTGCTGGTGGTGTAATTAGTAGCAGCCTTCTAGAAAAAGTTCTCAACAACGACCCGTCTCGCTATGGTTCTGTGTTGATGAACATGGAAAGTGATGTGTACAAGATTGGTGGTGTTCTCATGGCGCTGATTAGTAGGGATAAGGATAGTGATCATGATGACCTACTCGCCAAATTCACAAAAGCATATGAGAGTGAAGAAACTGGGAAGGCGTTGTTCGATAAGGATATAACAGCTGAAGAAGATATCATTCTGCTTGAAGAGTTAGGGAGATTGGCACTGAAGTGTACCATTTTGAATGCAGACAAGATTTTTATGAGACCAACAATGAAGGAAGTGGCAGATGAACTTCGAAGAATTAGGAGATCTTGGAAGGAACACAGGACAACCGAGGCAGCTACACACGTAACTACTGAAACTACTACAGATGTGGTGCCAGAAGAGCCAAGATTACCGAACCTGATGCGTCACATGTTCGGGTACCGTCGAATCTCCACCAGTGATCCCATACGTGTATGCTAAGTAGGATTTTAGTGATATTTGCATTGTCTTCCTCTTTTTCCTTTTTTTAATATATAATGTACCTGTTTCTAGAATTCCTAGCTTGTGATGTCGAAATTGTATATATGTTTGCTTCCCTTTTACTTTAACAAGTATGGTTTCCAGAAATATTATGTGAAAATTAGTCAGCTAGGTGATGATCTTTATATAGATCTGAAGTCATCTACTCCACTAGCTATTATGTTGTTGGTCAGCTCGTGCTGTTCAGTAACAGAGCATGGAGTTTTAGCGTGTATATGGACAATCACGGATGCCTTTTATGCCGTGTCCACTTTATTACCCTTTCTTTGCAGACATCTTTTGTGTTCTGAAGTACATGTTTTTTCTTCCGTGATCTTGCACATCAACATATGAAAAAGCCATATTTTACCATCTCAGGGCATTCATCTGCATACTCATTGGTCTCAACACAATATTTGTGCTTACTCTTGTCTTTATAACAAACAAATGTAGGAGTATGCTAGAAATATTCGTTCATACCAATGATGACGGGCAAACAAAGAACACAAGGCGAGTAGTTCATCTTAAAAAGTTGTAGTAGAACCAATACAAGTTGGCAGCTAGCGAATGACCTTGCGACTTCTGGTTGTTCTGCTAAGAGGCACAAGATTCACAAGTTAGCACGTACTACTACTTGTTGTTTTCCTTCTTGTTTTTCACGTCGTGGTCGCACAAGTTCGATCTGCACCGTCACCTTGTTGTTCTTCACGCACTTGCCGTGCGTCAGGGCCGCCGACGCTGTGGACGGGGCTCGACGCCGCCGCGGCCGCGAGAGAGTGGGTGGGTGGACAGATCAGTAGGCCCGTGGACCTGGTGCTGCACCGCACCTGGGCTGGATCCACCCAGCAGCCCGCGTTGGCGTATCGACGCTTCCGTGTGGACCGGCCGTGCGAGTCCTCAGATTACTGGGCCTGAGCCATCCCCGCTAGCTGATGCCATTTTTTTTCCTGCAAAAAGGGTATATTTGGGCCCGTTAGCTGCTTACTACTGAGATAATTCGAATTTTAGTTTATATTATATTAGACACTGAAATGGATCAAGATATAAATGCGGACGGTTACATGAAATGTGTTGGACGTGCCCTAAAGCAATGGTTTGGTTTTCTTCACCGACAGAACAGAACACAAGGCAACAAATGCAGAGTCCACTTATCTGTGTGATTCAACCATTCGCAGTTGGATTGGCCAATCTCATGCCATCTGTAATAGAACAGTCGGAAATAGTAGTGCCTAAACAACTTAAACGGCTTGTAATTCTGAGCACGTAAATGGTAAACAATAAGGAGAATCACTCTCTCTTTTTATTCTTTAGCGGCAAGTATGTCAATCTATATCTATACCTAATAATAAAGAGATAATTTTTTTTGCTTTTTTTTGTGTGGGCCATTCTATTTAGTCTAACAAACGCGGCCCACTCAGGCCACCCTACTGGCCTTCTACCCGCACGGCCCGCCCGCCTGCTCCTCTGGCCACAGGCTGCCGTTCGCCCGAACTCGCCCGCTCGGGTGGAGCCTGGCCCAGCTGGCAGTTTTCGAAGTGGGAAATTATTCAAAAATACAACACAATGGTTCTCCAAGGGAACGAACTCGAGACCACAAGTGGGCCATGCGGGTAGAAGGCAAGTAGTGTGGCCAAGTGGGCCATGTGGTTAGACTAAATAGAATGGCCCAGACCGAAAAAAAGAGATAGAAATTTTACCTCTTTATTATTATGTATAAATATAGATATAGATAAAACTATAAGTTTATCCCATAGTGAACCATGAATTAACTGGTTAAGTGAGTCAACACCACACGCCAAAATGGTTAAAAGATTAAAAAATATGCTATCAAATAGAATTGCTATCAAGTAGAATCGAACTTACAACATTGAAGGTGAATAATATCTTTTATATTATGTGAGGACAGCATAAAAATAAATAATGTAAAAAATCTTTTATATTATGTCAGGATAGCATAAAAATAAATAATATAAAAAACGTTTTATATTATGTCAAGATAGCATAAAAATAAAAAATATTAAATAAAAAACAAAAAATGATGGTTTTTAGGGAACTGAACTAAGTACCTTACACTTACAAATAGATAAGTATTTACAACTAGACCACGTAACTGTGCTGAGTATTTATTGTCCTTCAGCTTATATAAATGCACATTGCGGGCTCAAGAAGGCCGGCCTGGGCACCAGCGAGCCCCAGCGTAGAGAGCAGCGCACGTGAGTGCGTGCGCCCTCGTGTGAAGGCCGAAAATATTCTTGTTGTGGAAGGCCGAAAATATTCTTCTTGTGGATGTCTTTATCTGAATCAACCTATTTATGGAGTCGTTTGGGAGAGCTCGAGCTTTATCTTCTCCGAAGAGAATCACTGCCAACCAGCTAAATGCTCAAAATACTAACTGATTCAAGTGGGGATCAACAAAGAATTACTTCTCCATTTACACTATGAGTTGGGAGCTAAAAAATTCTGCTTCACCCTATTATATTCTAGTGGGATCAGCAGAGAATCAATTCTAATCAGCTCACCACCTTGCTTCCTCCTAGGAATCTAATTGAATCAATCCATCGCAGAATCAAGGAGCAGAGCTGAAAAATCAGGGAGCGGAGCTCTACCAAACGGGGCCTATATTCAAATTATTGCTGTCCAACATGCAGGGAGCGATTTTTTTATTTTAACACTTTTTTAAATTAATTTTAAATCTAACACTGTTTTTTTTTTCAAAACTAACACTTTTGGCCGCGCCTATTCCCATGGCGCGGCGAAAAGCCTGTGCCACGCCATGCATGGTGGTGTGGCGGGTGGATGACGTGGCGACGACCGAAAATGCTAACCGGTGACGTGGCAGGGCCTGCCGCGCCACCAGGGCCTGCCGCGCCACCGATCTTGGCGCGGCAGTGACGCGCCCTGATCGGTGGCGCGGCAAAGCCGAATAAAAGCGCCACGGCCTAGTCCCGCCTGCCCGAGCACGCCCGCTTGCCTAGCCGCCTGTCAGAAACGTACTGAGTAAGCAACTCATCGTCCGAGTACCAATCCTCAACCAAACCCTAGTGTATTTGTTGGCACGCCTCCCTTGCGCTTGGCGGCGCACCACGAACGCCGCTTCGCCATTGCGGCCGCCGCACCCGAGACGCCACACCACCCCTCCGAGCCATGCATGGCGGTTGCGCCTTGGCCGCCGCCGCCTCTGCCCGGTCTCTAGTGTGCCACATGGCCAGGAGGACGCGCGCTTGTGCTACATGACGTACTCCCCTAGTGTATTTGTTGATTGAATCGATATTGTTAGTATAGTAAATTAGTAAAATAAATAAAGTTAGTGTAATTAGTAAAGTATAGTTAGTAAAGTTAGTTAGTTTAGTTAGTATAGGCAATATAGTAAGTTAGTATAGATAGTAAAGCTAGGTAGTTTAATTAGTACAATTAGTGAGTCTAGTTATACATTGTATTTAGTCTAATTAGTTGTTCTAGTTAGCCTTGTATAGATGTTAATATTAGATTAGTTAGTATAGTTATAGTTAGAATATGTATTAATATTACTATGGACATTACGTACGACGTTTTCGACGACTTGATGAAGTTTCTTGAAATGCTTTTGCAGATGGATTGTTGTGTTAGAGTTTTTTACGGAGGAAGTGTTAGGAGTGAAGATGGTATGTTTGAGGATATGGAAGAAGAATGTGAATGGTTTGATGAACCTCCTAGCTTCAACGACCTTTTTGTCCGTTTGAATGCAAAGTTTGGCGATGATTTCACACTGAAGGGGAGGTTTGATACTGGAAAGACTAGGGCACACTATGTCATCATGCCCTTTGCGCGACCCTGCTCACTGGTCCCGCTACACTAGGGTGCTCCAAGATTTTAATGTGCCCATGGCTGAGGTGGTGGTGGAGAATGGGTACAGGATGCAGGGTATCCAGGACGGTCCGTCTATTGATGGTGTTGGAGGCAATGAACAAGAATTAGGGGTCGAAGGGGAAGCAACTCAGGGTAACATGGATTTGGATGGTCAGTTGACGTAGGTGCAGTTTCATTCAACTACAGTAGGCTGTATAAGCAATGACTTCGATGTGAATGAGTTCGAACGGGAAGAGGAGTAGGAGGAGGAGGATAGGATCGGTGATGTAGTTAGCAGTGATTCAGACGATTCTGATGATGACCAAGGAGGTACAGATGCTATGCCAACACCGGTTGATGCCATGCCAGTACCGGTTCATACTATGCCATTACCAGTACCAACTGATGTTTTGCATGGTATCCAGACTCAGGGTGGACTAGTCATAGATTTGGCAGCAGATGATACCCCCTATGATTCATGGGCCAGAATTAGCGAAGCGCAGCAGTATGTTCCACCACCACCTTACACAGCGACTGAGCTTGAGCAACTAAGGTCGATGAACGTACCTTTCAGGGGCGTTCCGAACTATAGGGATGTCAGCATGACGGATATGGCAGTTTGTGACACCGGTCTCTAGATGTGTAGGAAATCATTGTATGACCATGAGAAAGAAACCGTTATAAAGGGGATGATATTCAATACAATGTCATAGATGAAGCTCTTCCTTCAGGACTATGCTGTGTATCACCATAGGTCGTACACCGTCACTTATTCGAACAAGGAGTTGAGGTACCACGTGATTTACAAAAACGGTTGTATGTGGAGGTTAAATGCACGAAAGAGACAGAGTGATGGCAAGTGGAGGATAAGTAAAGTTGTCAAACCCCACACTTGCCTAACAAATAGGGGGAAGGAAAATCATTAGCAGCTCACTGTATGTTACCTTGCCCGTCGTATATTGGGGCTCGTTCATGACAATAACGACATTTTGGTGTCTTCTTTACGACAGTCCATATCTAGATTCGTTAAGTACGATGTGAAGTACGGAAAGGCTAGGCGTGCTAAGCAAATTGCCCTGGCGATTCGATGGGGTAGTTGGGAGGAAGCGTACAACAGGGTGCCCCGCATCTTATGT